AAAACATCAAAACCAATATGATTACAATGACGTTTCACTACAAAATTTATATCTCTCTTGAATTTGCATATAAATTGATTTAATTTTTCCATTTAAAATAGTCTTTGAGCCATTCTTTCATTCGTTATTATTCGACAGTTTCGTCGTAATCTTCACCAGTAAACTCTACAATACTTCTGTAGACTGACGCGAAAGCCGGTCTGTACTCTGGTTCCTTGGGGAAAAGAACAACAACAACTATGTTAAGAGAAAGTTTTTCCTTCTTATAGACACTTTCGAAGGAAAAGCGCCGAGATTTACAAAGTTCTGATTGGATTGAATTTTTTGAAAATCTCTATGCGTTGTACCTCTAATTAGCTAAAAGTTTAAGTTAGTCACAAGACTTTTCACCAGCAACGCAACTAAAAGGTAGACGCGAATTAATTTCTTTCAGGATTCTCCCACGCAGCATGTTTATAAAATCTCATCGCAAAAAAGCAAACCACGACAAACTTAGACATAACGGGAAAAATCTCTTTTTCCACGGTATCTGTTCTGTCTCCGAGGTTCAAATAATCTATACTCTAATTCTTTTCTGATGTCTGTGAACTTAGATTGCAATTCTTCACTCGTAAAAAGAGTAACTCCACCTGATACCGCAGAGAAAAAAAATGATGTGACACTGCAAGCAGCTTACCGCATGCCAACACCTCTCCACAATTCTATACATCTCCTCAGGACACCTTGTTGGTTTTTGTAGTCGATAACCATTCAGAATCTGTTAAACAAATATCATTGGTTTTTCATTGATCAATAAAGAAATTAAAAAAACTATCGCATCTCTGAAACCAAAAGCTCTTCAAATAGTACGTAAAACTGAAAAAGATGAGACTATTGTGTGCAACCTTAAATCTTACTTGCCTAGTCCCTCTACGGCGTTTTCCCAGTCCCTCTCTGTCGCTTGGACCACGTGACCCAAAACGCTTTAGCCGCGAGAAATAATGAGGCCTAGGGACTAGGCAAGAATCTTACCTTGCTTTAAACCTTGCTAGACATGCGTTAGACATGCGTTACATGAACTGAAAATTGAACATCTCCTTTTTATGCGCGAAAAGAGCGAGGAGGTCCGTTTACGGAGATGGAAACTGAAGCAGGGGATTTCCTTGAACCTGATCTTAGCCAGCATTCAAATCTTTTTTCAATCTCGTCTCCTTACTGAGATCAAGCAAACTATCCTATTGCCTTAATGCGAACAACTCTTCTGAAAAGAATATTTATACTCCAAATGGTTCATTCAGCCTTAAAAAATATGGCTACGGTATCAAAAAAAATTATAACAAAAGGAATGAAAAAATATTCGAGGTGCAAACCGCGCTAAGAGAAGACTGGGAAGGGAGGGGTAAACTATTATCTACGTCAGCTGAGGAGGAGAGTGCTAACCTTTTGAACAACATCGGTGTTGTTGATTGCGGGATAAGGCTGTTTTCCTCCAGTGTATATTTCCCAGGTTAAAATACCTATCAATACAAATACATATCACTGAGTTATGACTGTTCAATTCGTCAAAACTAAAGGCAGCAATGTAAAAGGAAACCAGGCAGAAAAAACGACGAGGACAAACAGAAAAGCAACATAAATACAGCGAGATGTATTAAACAGTAACTTGAATGGCGGCTTACCAAAAGCCCAGATGTCCGATTTACTACTGAACTTAGTATAGAGAATGACCTCAGGGGCTGCCCATTTTATAGGGAATTTTGTGCCCTCTGATGCCGTGTATTCATCGTCAATGACATATCTGTCGGGAATCAACAATAACATATTAAAAGAGAATAATAATATTAGTCGTAGTATTAACCACTCTAGAGACTTAACATAAAGCTTTTTTTTTTTTAGCGGAGAAAACAGTAGACTGCAAAACAGTCCGTATTTTTGCGTATTCAAGTACGCGCGAGCAGTCAAACAAAAGTTCTGGAATGAGGCTGAAAATAGAGAGCGAAACTGGGGAGAGACGCTAAAAATACGGGTTTTTTTCTCTCGCCTCACACGCCCTACTGGCGTGTCAGGCTCGCGCGCTTCGCGCGCGTAAGACTCTTACGCCACGCTTTACCGATTTCTTTACTGATTTTGAGGAAAAAACCGACTGTTTTGCAGTCTAAGAAAACAGTGGAGAGTCGAAAGTAATTTCACGATCGCTTTGATTTATCTGCATCGCCAAGCTTTGAAATTTGTGAATAAAATCTAACGCCACACTCCATCAACCAATCAGAAAAAAAATCAACCGATTTAAGATTCACGACTTGAGTAGAACAGAAGCGGTTTCTCGCGCTTGACTCCTTGGATTGTTCAGTTGCCCCTGGTGTTCCTCTGACGGGTCCAAATAAAACATTCACTTAGTTTTATGATACACGTGTGAACACAACTAAAACCATCAAGTAGTTCACTATTTCTAGTAAGAAAAAATAACCCACCTCGCTAAACCAAAATCCGCTACTTTTACAATATTATTATCTCCTATGAGACAGTTTCTTGCTGCCTGATTAAAGATGACAAAAATGATGACATCAGTTAGCAGCATTACTAAGTAAGGGCACTCAGTTTGAAATTTAAGAAGGTCGAAGTTGGTTGCAATAGTGACGCACGTATGGAAGTTTTGTTTTACTCACTGAACCCTATCATGGTTTTTTTGTTTTGTTTTTTGTGTTTCTTCCGTCCCGTTGAGTTGTGGTGGCGTACTTTCCTAAGCTCCCTAACAACAGTTGTATAACACCAATTCCAAAATGCTTTCATTTTAACTTACCAGATCTCTGTGGATAAAGTTCCTACTTTCCAGATAAGTCATAGCATAGGCTACCTGTCGAACCATTTCTGTCATTTGTGGAGGATGCAGGCGTGTTTGATGCTTCCGTAAATAGTTTAAAAGGCATCCTAAATTGTCAACAAAATAAATCATGAGTTGATCTCTAGCGCGAGCTAACTGCTAAATTCAAAGAAGTTTTCTTTCTTTTTCTCCTAAAACAAAATCTCTGAAAGCAGGTTGGCTAGCAATATACTAAAGAGAATAAGTGTAAAGCGTTTTTCTGTCAAGTTTGAATGCTTCTTTTAACATAATATCTTATAGGGTCATTCCTGATCAGGAAAAGTGAAATTATAAGAAGGAGAGAGGTTATAAGACGACAGAAAAACACTGATTGTGGTTAATTCAAACAGCGTTAATAAAAATAATATCCCACCTTGTGTCATAAATTCTGTGATGATATAAATGGGTTTCTCGCTGCAAACACCAAACAGCTGAACCAGATGAGGGTGGTGGAATTTTCTGCAATGCAAAACATTCATTGACTTGTTAGAAAAGCAAGAGGCAACCAAATACGTTTTTGTTTGTTAAGCGTCTAGTTTGCTTTTAAATTTCAGTAATTTGTGATCAATTCAAAAAACTTTTGCGCCACTGCCTCAAAAAACAAAACAAACGACGCAATATTTAAATTTATGTTTTACTTTTAACCCTTAGGTCGCGTCTTTGCAGGTTTCAGTTTTTCAGAAATCTAGGAGGGGGTTTGGGGTGTGGAAAAGTTCTACACAGGCTTCCCATGTGCCTTGCATTAAATGAACTGTTACACCTCTGTAAAGCAGCCACTAGGTTTTTTCACAAAAGTGTCTGTATTAAGAAGGTAAATAACTGCACTTACGTCATGACTTTTGCTTCATCTATGAAGTCATCTTCAGACATGGCGCCTTCCTTCATCATTTTAACAGCCACAGGAGTCTCTTGCCACCAGCCTTGTCTCACAGTCTGTTGTATGAAAAAAGAATGTCTCAGCATCATCAGCTACTCGATATTCACTGCCCTTACAAAGTTACCCTACTAGGAAATTATTATTGTAAGGAAATATCCAGAAATTGCAGATCACCAGTAGCTAATTTACTGCTGTTTTATCAGTATGACAGGTGGCTTATAATAATATTAGGTTTGCAGTATTTGCCAGTCAAGGAAGGGATCAGGGGTCTCCAGCTGGGAGCTGGCTGACTTACCTGTCCATCATCCATTTTGCAATACAGTAGTTAAAAAAGATGATTCACACTCACCCCAAACTGGCCTGAACCTAACTCCTTTCCAAGCACTATTTCTGATCTGGGCATTTCCCATACATCTACAAGGAAAGAAGGGACAGCTCTGAATATGATCTCAATTTTGCTACCAGCTATACTGTCTCTTTTTAGCATTATCAAACCATTAACATTTACAAGTGAATATTTTAGAAGTGTCAGTCATGGGGGTGGATATTCAAATATATAAAAGATACATCATATTTTTAGGCAACTACATACCATGACCAAATGCCGCTACTGGTGCCTGACCAAATGAAGGAGGTTGCCTTAGTCTAGTAACTAAGCCTGGAATACAACATTAAATCTTAATGTTTGATGTAAAATTATTCAGTTTAATTAACCCCTTCTCTACCAAGGACGTATATATACATCCTGTGTGGGGTCCTTCAGCAACCCAGGACATATATATATGTCCTCAAACAATTAATGAAATCACCAAAAGTCTGGTCATTAAGAAAGGAACTCTGGTCGTTGAGAAAGGTTGCTGGTTGCTGGGTGTATTTGGCTCTAGTAGGCAAGGGGTTAAAAATTAACAGCCTGTCTTTATATGGTTCATCCTTGGAGACCCAGGGGTGGTCAGTAGGGCTGGGAGAAATGGTGCAATGAAAGTTTTTAATAAAAAGCCCCTGGGTACCCACTCTCACTGGACCATTTCCAAATGGTCAAGCGAATGTTGGCTCCTGATTGGGCACAAAAATGCTTTGTATCGTTGTGGCCAATCAGCAAACAGCATCTCCTGGGTCTCCGAGGATGGATATGGTTGATAATACATCTGTAAATAGGTGTAGCATGATTGTCCGGGTGAGCATTGTTCAGAATAGGACTGTTGTTGACAATGACTGACATTTCAACAACCTGTGCGGTAGTAATATTCAAGTCCAAGAGTCCAAGTAAGTTGTATCACATTATTGATGGCAACGAGGCATTTTTGGTCAGATCAGTCATGCGGAGACTTTAATATATTGTATGTGGATACTGGGGTTTGAAGGGTTAATACAGTCAGTCAACAGAAACACATCAATAACATAAAGTTACCTCCACTGTTATGCTGATGATAATTGATGAGTTCAGACACTGTTGGATATCTATGTCTGTCTGATATATACAACTGCCCACAATCTTCCTTGATGTGATAATGACGAACATGGTCTCCGTGCCTAGAGTAACAGATCAAAAGGTTATGAGCCCTTTCACTCCTAGATCAAGACAATGATGGTGTGATCATTTTTCACTCTAACTAAAAACTGTAAAATGAAATCCTTGGTTTGTACCATTTAAATGAAACCTCTTTAGAAGACCTTTTGCACAGAACTATTCATTTCCCAAGAAGTTACAACAAAATGTTCTGAAATTTTCACATTGACCACTATATGGAGTTAAGGGCAGCACCACATCTCTCTAAGAGGAGATTAACTGTTGGAGTCACATCCTTTCTAAAGCAGATATTCTTGGCTGGGTTTCCTAGCTAAGAGTTTTATGTTATGTTTCACTTACGTACAAATGCAGAAAAGAAGGAATATTAATGTCTGTTAATTGAATGGAAAGAGGCTCATAAACAGTTCACAACAAATATAGCAATGCTCTATATTGCACTAAACACTTATGTAGATAGACGATAGAGCTTAATGATGGCATAACTTCAAAAGAATAGCATGGTTAATAAAATCTATAAAATAAAGAAACAAAAAAAAGGGCAAAACACTTACAAAACAGACAAGGTGTACATTCCCTCTCTACTTGAGTTTCGGACTACAAAACAGCCCTCTTTACCCTGAAAAATATGTTTAGGAAGCATTTCTCTTATGAACTGCCTGACTAAATTGGTAAAGGTATCTTTCTTCAGATAAATACTTAAACATTTGCACGTACTTCCCACAACAGTGATTTTTACCCACCTCCTTTTTCAAAACATCCTCGCACAGCTGTCGTGACATTTCAGGTTGGAACCAGCTAAAAATAAAATTGCACTTATTGTTAGATTCAAAATCTGTGTTAATAACTTTGTCATATGAAGATGTAGTTCAAAAATATCAATAGCTACAGACAAAATTTGAGTAGGACACAAAATAACAGTCAGTCAACGGACAATGTTCCCCCAGAAGTCAAGCCAAAAACTTTACTCGTTGGACATGTTGACTGGTTATGCACACTGTACTCTCGTTCTTGAACAAACAGCAAAATCCTCACCAGCAAATCTTAGATTTTTCCCTCTTTGTAAAAATACAAATAGAGAATTACACAAAGATCAGTTAACTATTTTCCCAATATTTTGACTGGTCAGAAATGAGACTTGACCAAACAAAATTTTCTTTGGCTGGTGATTGTGTCCGTCCAGTGTCCAAAAATTATTTTGAGCCCTAAGGAGATCAGTTGAACATTGGATCGCTACAGGTTTAAAGAGTCCTAGAACTGAGGAGCTTCATTCGTAAGTTCAACTATGTTGGATTGGTCAAAGTTAAGCAGACAGACCCTTCACATTATGGTTAAAGTCCATCAGCCCTACATCAACCAAATACATATGTAAAATCTCTCTGGTGAAAACAGAAGGAACTTAAACACACCTTTCACTTTCCAATCCTTGCCTTCTTACATAATTACTTGGAATGAAACCACTTTCTCTGAAAAATATTAAAGAACACTTAATGAGATGCCCAAACAATGCTGTTGTTTTCTAATGCATTATTTTTTACAAACATTACAAACCCTCTTGAATTTTTGGCTATCCACCAATGATCTGATTGTTTATCAAGGACTGTTAACTGTTCTCCCTAATAAAAGAGAACAAAGGAGATTCATAAAATGATGGAACACTGACTAGACAAATTTATATTTTTTACCCTTACGGCTGTAACTGGCTTGAAAAGAAATACACCAAGCAACATCTAAAACATTGACTTTAGAGTTTGATAAAAATAAGACAACAATGTTTATTGTAACTACGCAACTTCACCATATGAGCAGTGTTAATAACAAAGTGTAGTCAAAAAACAAACAACTGCAAAATTACTTCTGCTGATATGCTGCTCAAGGCTGGAACGTGCGATGTCCATTCTGTCAAGGTTTCTGACTTACCATGATCTTCTGGCACAATGTGTTATCTGTCAAACCATGTATTGGCATATGATGCATTGAAACCAAGATATCAAGGTCCACTTACAGACCTAAAACTTCTTTCTGCTTTTAAATAATATACACACTAAAATACTCATATTTACATAAACAAACCTTGATGAGAGACAAGTCGCCTTGTTCAGCTCCACTGAAGTCATAAATAGCCACTACAACTTCAGTTTTTTTTTCAGGCTCTTTTCTTTCTCTGGGAACTGGTGCAGGCACCGCTGGTGGTTCACTTTTATTCTTAAGTTTAATCACAACACAGAACAAAAGGAATCAATAATCAAATGAAGACAAAATTGAGCCACATTTTCATAACAAACCATAACAACATGTGTAGGGCGGAAAATAATCTACAGGCAGATAATTATTGGGGTGGGGGGAGGACTTGGGATGGTTGGGGGGGGGCACTGAGGCCCTCAAACCTTGACCCTACTGAACACAGTATTATTAACTAGCTTCTAAAAGGTACTTACTTCAGAGGGGATGGGAGGCAAGGGCTGAGTTGCTATAAATGATGAACGAGTGTAACTGTCACCTGCAAACAGGAAATAGTACCAAAATTGTAGATAATCAGAGGCCCATGTATCATATTTACATGTTAACACCCTGTAAGTACTATAACATTTTACTGGCTCCTCGCACTAAAATTTGTTTCATCTGACAACCATACTGGGTTGAACAGACAGACCCCTCGCTAAACATAGGGGTCTGCCTGTTTAACCCAATGGACACACCCAGAGCTGGTCGCTGCCCAGGCGCGAATCTAGGATAAATACTGACCGATTTCCTAAACAAGCGCCAAAGGCGCAAGCTTCAAGTGGGGTCCGGGGGCTGGCTCCCCCAAGAAATTATTTGGATTTTTACTCCTTAAAGTCCCCTTTCCTGGGTTTCCGAGTCATTCAGATGGGATATCGGCCAGATTTCAACTTGGAAAGTGTTTTTCTTTTTAAAATATATTTAATATGAAAAATGTGACCGATTTCCGTAAAACGGTGGAAACCGGTGTGGATCCGCACCTGCTGCCCATGATAAGTCCTGCCTTTAACAAAAATGACACCCTTTCTAATAAAGGTACGGTAAAGACACAGATGAGCCAAAGGCCCAAATGGCCAGAGCTTATACCGGTTTCTGTAGCATGAAGCATACCCAGGAGTATTGCTTCTCCCCCCTGGAAGGGATACTAGTCCATTGCAGGGTTACCCCCCCCCCTCCCCCAAGCAGTATGTTGCCGGTACCCATTTATACACCTGGGTGAAGAGAGACAAAGTTGGGTTAAGTTCCTTGTCTAAGGAAACAATGCGATGGGCAAAGCTTGAACCCCAGACCTCCAGATCCAGAGTTCAAGGTTTTAACCGCTCGGCTACACACACCTCCTTTCTAATAAAGACAGATACTTTATTCCATTCCCATTGGTCCCTGTCTTAGAGAGAATTCACCATTAAGTGTCTCTACCAAGGCAATATGTGGCACCTCCTTTAGAAGGTAGGGATGCTAAGATTTGACTATGAATGTGAGTTTGAGTACAAGTAGAAGATTTCAAACTCAGTCACTTGAAATAATATTTTTATCCCAAAACTCTTGAACCTTAATGTCTGGGACATCAAAACTAGCTTCAGATTCCATTAATCATACTTATACTTGCAATTTTAGAAACATTTTTGGTAAATTCATAGTAATTCATGGTAGTCTATAAAATGTTTGCTCTTACCTTGATAACCATCTTTCTCACTTGCAGCAAACGATTTCTTACAACCTTGAGCTGTCTTCTCCCTCCCATCACAGCATGTCCACTTGTTTATAAAAATTCCAGGATGATATTCCATAAGGAGAAACTTGTTACCACTACATTCTAGAAACAAAGTGTTATTATCAGATGTATAAAGTATATAACCCTTACCTTTAAATTTAAGTACTATTATGACTTTATACACTTCCATTAATTTTACCTTAAACACATCAAAGACCTCTAGTGATAACCAAAAGGTCTGGCAAAGAGGTTTTACTTGAATGGTAACCCCACAGGGTTTCATCCACAGATTTAATGGTAAGAATGACAAATAATCCTGTTATGCAATGGTCTAGGAGTGAGAGCATCAAGGCTCCTCATCAATCATCTTTGTACTTTATCAACAAAAAATGAAATCTATTTAAGTACCATCTTGAATGGAATCCACCCAGTCTTTTCTTTCATCTTCGGTTTTTGCACTGATGTACAAAACCAGATCATCATAGACAACCTGTTGATCAGTAGAAAAATATGGTAGTGCCTTCATTAGTCCTTACCTAGTGTACTTAACCTGTGGATATGATCAATATAATAAATAATATTATATTATTAATTTGTGAAACAGATTTTAGTAGACATCACCCAAGCAATTACTAATGACTGCATATCAAGTGGCCCATGGTCTGAACATGTGTTTCACTCTTTGTCAGAACATTCACAAATGGACATATGAAATACATGTAAACATATTTCCAAGATTTGGAATTCACACATGTACCTGTAATATGAATAAATCTATAATAAATACATTATGAGCAAGAAATATAGCAGTCTACAATGACTGTCTCACAGCAGTTACTCTGTTAACTGACCTATCACATGCACCAGATTTGGTGCTTACATACAACAATGCTAGATGTCAAGGGCTACAATATCATCTGGGTTAAAAGTAACAAAAACAGTTATTCTCAACGGTAAGGTCTGCAAGAACACACAATCAGTCACACTGAAAGATCCTATTCCAGTAACCTTCTTTTAGAACTGGAGTATGATGAAGTTCAGAGTTGACAGCATAAAAAAGCTAAATTCACCAATAAACAGAAAGACTGTAGACTTCTGCATGCAATGAACACCCAAGCTAAACTATTTGAAATAATGTTAGCACTGTTTTGTGGTGTGCAAATATGCTGAACATGTAATAATTATTTTGATTAGCAGCCTAAGCACAGTTTGTATTCAGGAAAAGACAGACAAGAACAATTTCCTAGAATAAATAATTTAAGCCCTAGTAACTTTTGATTAAGTGCAAAATTCTCCTCCACCTGTCTTGTTTATGATTGTGAATCAAAGGAGAATTTTATATTTGATCAGGAGTCAATAGAAACCTTATTCCAAGCACCCCATGCACAACTCCATGAGAGGTTCATCAGTCAGACTATACTGAACTCACCTGAAAGCAGTATTTCTTGACTTGGTCAAATGCAGTGTCTTCAACAAACTCTACTGCTTTCACTGAGCTTAGAGGTATACTTCCTTTCCGTTTTCCACGTTTCTGCTCAAAAAAATATCATAAACATAATTTTAACAGGAGCAAAGTATTTCAGATATCAGCAACCCATACTCATGTATAACATGAAGTTTGTGACCTCCATGTTGGCGTGGGTTTTGTAACGCATTCGATTCCTTACTCCATCCACGGACTTAGCAGTATGAAACAGATTTCAAAGGAGGTTCAGGTTCATAGCTCTTAGAAGCAGATGAAAATGACTTGATGTTAAATACTGACTAGCTTAAGCAGACTTTTTTCCTGGCTTCAATTTAAGGAGTTCTTTGTTTCATTGTTTTTGGGGTCAAATTCCCCAACTCAGTAAACTTAGCAAGTCAGAAACAAAACTGTTTTCATAGCCATTTCTACTCAGTTAACACTCGCTAAGCAACCCATAACATCCCTCATGAAAATGCAACCACTAAGATTGTCACTCAAAAGACTGACTGTTCCACTTCCTCTGTGTTTTGCGACATTTGACAGGAGTTATTTTGAAGGGGTTAAAAAGAAATTAAAATTCCCCCAAAAAAGAGGAATATGAGGGGAGGGGGGGAAATTATTCATTTATGGCATCAGTTGAAATGTGGGGATATCTCCAGAGGCATGAGGAATAAAATATTGCAGCTACAGGGGTAGGGGAGGGATATTTTCTGGAACCCTTTTAGTCCATAATGGGTTGTTCTATTAAGGTTTCCTCTCTGTGTAAGTTTAAAACTGGTATGAAACGAACTTTAATTTAAATACTTAAGCTCACGGTTAAATTCAGTGCTTAAACAAGGAGGGCATAATATAAATAATTAGCTTAAATTTAAAACGCTAATATTATTCGTCGTACCACAGATTGTTGCTAACGTAGCGTTAAGAATCAGTTAAGGAGTTTTGCAACCAAGGATGGTTTAATCATTAACATACAAATCAAGAAACTTCGAGCAACCTACATTTCAGCAGAGGTCGATAAAGAAGCATTCTACCGCAAGCTATTAGAGCAGATTAAAGCTCATGCAGTGTTTTGTGCAAAACGTACTGTAAACTCGGAGATAAGACACCGATCTATGAACAGTCATGAAATATTGCGTTCAAAGTACAATTTACATCTTTTTAAGGTATTTGCACATCCTTACCTCTGCAGAGCCTTCAAAATAGTTGAGAGTTTTAGGGGTGAGAACAAACACTCGCTCTTTCCAGTTCACTGAAGTGAGCACTTTCTTTTTTCCCTGGGCTCGTTTCCACATAACGGAAACTTTCAGTTCCCTCTGCTCTCCTTGATCGAAGTACATGATGCCCAGTTTTGAGTGTTTTGATTTCAGTCACATGAATGTAGCTTTAATATCGAAAACCATGTCAAATTTCCTTAACAATGACTGAAACAGGCGCTCCGATAACCGGAAGGAATAGCTTGCAAACTCGTAAGGTCAGCAAAGCACTGTGGGTTGATAAGACGGTCGGGCTTTGCCCCCGCAAAGCTTGCATAATTATGCAAACTTTGGCGGGGTGGGGGTGGGGGAACGGAATATATTATGGGCATTTAAAAGTTGACAATGTTTTGTTTTCTGAAATATAATAGAGGTCAGGTCAAATAGAGAATGGATTGTTTCAAATATCTACTTATAATTAGTATACGTTCGCATAAACTTAAAAACGACAAAGGAGAATTTTCCTTGACAACATTACATTAGCTACCCTGTGTGCCACTCTTTTACATAGGGGGGCACAGGCCGGGTCAACCACTGGGCAAAGAGAAGAAAAGCACCTTCCCCCGTCCCTTTCCCTCTCTGTTTTCCATTGTTTTTGTTGTTGTTGTTGTTGTTTTTTCATCATGCTAACAAGTCCAGTTGAAGGAAGTAGGAAGTTGCTGGAAAGATGGCATTTTATGATGTTATGTATATAGGATGGCGGGGGGGGGGGAGCTTTTATAGCATAATTTGTGATAAATGGTGGTCTCCAGCTGAAGTGCATGGTGGGAAACTAACATTGACACCATATGTTTATTGAATTTACCATAATTATTCATACTTCCAACAATAGCAAAGTCACCTGTGAAAAACACAGAACTATTCAGGTTTTCACTTCTCTCGGCTAAAAAGTAGAGTATTTCCCATTTGGACTCTAACGATGTTATGTTGAGTAACACAGGCTAGCATTTTTGGGAACAAAAAGACTGAATTACTTTAGCCTGCGTAGCTGGCGGTATTGTGTTAGGCGAGGGTGTTAGGCGAGGGAGATTTGGCGACGGAGCCGCTCTACCAGTCGAGTGAGAGTTGGCGGCGGAGCCGCGAGAAATAACGCGGTATTTCAAACGCCTCGTCCCCACTCCTTTTTTTTGGATCGCGGCTCCGCCGCCAAAACTTAAATCACACACACAAAAAAAACTTTAATCACACAATACCGCCAGCTGCGCAGGCTAGAAGTACTTCTGCTCATTAGGAAATCAGTCGCGGAAGCAGGGTAGCCGAGTGAGATGAAAATCACTTCAAAAGTGATTTCGTCGCTTCGCGCTCTTTTATACACACCTCAGTTTACTTCGCACGCAATGGCATAAATTGCAAAATTTTGTGAAGATGGTCCATTAAGTAATTAATTTCTAAGTTCCGCCCAAAAAAAATACATGGCGGACGCAAGTATTTATTGATTTTGATTGATCATATTTTAAGAGTAGCTGTCTTTTGCGGAGTAGACCCAGTTTGCTAAGGTCCAACTTCATGGTTACTTGCAATGCAGAAATTTGCAACATCTTCTGTTAGACAAAAGTCTTTCTTTTGTGATTTCTTCATTTCCCACGTCTCCAGAATACTCTCCACAGATCTGGGGCAACAAGAGTATCTCTTGATCGAGAAATTATGCAAAAGTGTGTTATGTGTATACCTAGATTGTAAGTAATTATCCTTGCTGAGACATGCTAAAAAACAAAAAAATTCCAGTTGTAAACATTTCACGTTGCCATAGCTCCACCTTTGAAAGTCGTCAGTCCCTTTTTAAACAGAGCTATGTGGGTGAGCAACGAAGTTTTCCTCCTGAACATTGTGAACAGTCGAGTTATGGACCGATTACGTAAATGCGGCTAATTTGGAATTATTCACTTATCGTCGCTTACCCGCACCCTCCTGTTTCAATTTTTTGAAACTTCTTGTTTCTCTCATCTTCGTCCTTGGGAGACTTGAAGAACATAACCATTCTTGTTGTACAGGCATACCCTTCTTGTTTGTGTTGGAAAGCTGAGAATTTTCTGCACGTCAATGCCTAGTTCCTGTTGCACAGTGCTGTTACAGGAGTTCTGCTAGAACTGGCTTTGTAAGAAACCAGCTTTACTCCGTTGCACTAACTCTACTTATTCCAGGCAATATAACACCATCGGAGCCAATCTGAGGTGTAAAGAGTATCTGGGTTATGCTAATTTTAAAGAAAAGTGAGCAACAGTATACTGTACTTTAATCGGCAAACCGGCTTCCAACGCTTAAATTTAGGCTAGGAATGAGTTGACCAATACTATGACGATTCCATGATTTGATTATGGTGAGATATACGTTGGCACCTTCTCGATACTAGTATTAGCTTGTTGTTTCGTTCATAGTTGATTTTCATCCTTTTGGAACGAATAACTCCAGGTTCCAGGCTCCGAGATATGGGGTAGCAACAGAGTACCGAAAATCGAATAAAAAAATTTAACCACTAGAGGGAAATGTTAAGATCGAAGACAGCGTAACCGTCATTCATTATTCCAAAATCGAAAAATCGATTATTCCAAAGAATTTAAAGTAGCTATTCCGTTATTCCGCCCCACAAAATGACATTATTCTTGGAATTGTGTTAAAAACCCACATTCTGTTTTTGGAAATGTGTTAAAAACCCATCTGCTCTCCGTAAATAATTAAGTACCTTAAGGGAATTTCCCCTGAAAAGCTCAAGTTAGTGTGCTGATTTCCCTGATCACGGTAATTAATTTAAATCAAGAACCATATCGTGGCTCAGGGATATGACTGGTTACTCTAAAATCATTGCCCTTTCACTGTTCACTCATTCCAATATCAAAAAATTCTTATGCCATTATTCCTCTTCACCCTCCGATTCATCTTCAGTTCTAGAGATACCTCTTCACGACTTATTCCTATTATCGATTCAATCTCTTTTGACGAATTTGTGCAAGAAGCAAGTCACTCAAGAAAACTCGGCAACTCATAGCCAAATCGACTGACCTTCAGAGACCTACGTACTTAACATTACAATTAATGAAACGAATTTCAAGCAAGCAGAACGTTAAAGTCTCAAATACGTCTCAGGATAGTGACTGGAGTCTCTGGGCTCGGGCATCGCAATTAAGGCATTTAGCCGACGGCTAAGTAATGATAGTGTATTGAAAGTGCACAAGCCAAGGTCATGATTGTAGCAAAATAGTTGCGAAGTCAAACACAGAACCACAAGTCAAAACAAACGCCGAGTAATAAGTCATGCTAGTTTTGCCACAACAAGTTCAGTTGCGTTCATGTTCAGGGCACACTCCAGCATTTGAGTGATCAGAAAAAAAGACGATCAAGTGGCCAGGAGAAAATGAAAATGATCTCCTCTGTTACTTGTCTTGGAGAGATCAAAAGAACTTCCGAGAAGTTCAAAGCATTGTCGAAAAACTTTTCTTTTTTCCGTTAAAATTACTTGTTTCCAAGAATTTGTTAGCCCACCTTCGGCTAAAAATAGATACAAAAATAAACAATAAGTGAATAAATAAACAAATAAGACGAGACAAAATAAAAACATACAAACAACACCTTTAAAACCTGAATGACCTTTTAATTCTACTAGTTATCACATTAACTAATACATTGTTTAACAAAAAACCTCAGAAAAATAATAATAAAAGTTGTTGTTGCTCTTATGTTGTTGTTTTAGTAATAAGTTCCGAACGAAACAAAAAATTATTATAATAAAATAATCATAAAAAAATAAAAAATGGATATTAAAATTATCCTACTTAATACCATAATCGGACTTAAAAATAGTAACTAAAATCAATATTTATACTTACAAAAAAAAATACTTACAACAAAAATGCAGTGAAATACAAATTAATTTGCAATTTGCAAGCAAAGAATGATCATTTCATACATTTTCATCGCCTGTAAGAACGATCCACCGATTTATAATGGAGCTGCACTTTACAGTAAATTCGAGTGCACTACACTGCTCTAGAACAGCAGTATATAATCGTGAAATTAACGAATACATACGTGATATTAACAAATACGCGTGTATCAGGCTCCTTCCTATTTGAAATTTGCTGACAAATTAAACATTGTCTGCCTTGCTTTCACAGGAATATCAGTAACATTTCAATATTACTGAAAAAAAATGTGTATTATCTACATGCTTTATGAAATCGTAACTTCGTATTTTCAAAGTAGAGCACCTACCCTTACCAAATCCAACACTGTTTTGAATGTTTAAGCTATTTTTGAAAACTGTTTTTAACCTGTTTTGTGAAATAGGTTTTAAATAGGGTGAAAAGTGTATTTTTAATGTATTTTTCGACTGCTTTCAAAGGTGTTTTAGGCAAAGATCTACGGGTTCGGAAACGAAAATAATCTATGCTAACTTGCTGTGGCACGAACCCAAAGAACTGTCCTAATCGAAAGAACAACGTTGGCTTACACTGAGGTCTACATTCACCGTCTCAGTAGTAGGAAGCATAAGAAAGTTTACTTGCACACCACAACCATCCAGAATGCTAGTCCAACACAGTGATACCCCATGACACAAGATCGACATGACCCATCTAAACACCTTGATTAAAAGGGACAAGATGGAGCAATCTGTTTTCTTTTGCTAAGAAAACAACACAATGACACTGCCAATTAACGCTCCGACCGAGATTGGGATCCAACAAAGATCGATATGTTGATCACTAGACCACTTCGACGAATTCCAAGGAACTGGGTATACGAGGTAGCCTTCCATACAGACGTTCTTTTTGCTCGTCACGCAATCCTGCGCAATGCTTAGCAGCTAGGTTTGAGTGCTTCACAGCTGGATGTGCAGTGCTTGCGCTAAGCGTTGATACAAAAATGAATGCACAAATTATTTTTTCCGGTTATATCTTCTCGGACACCATTTCCCACCTTAAGAAGTACTCTTGTCTACGTGACAATACTTAGCAGCCAGATTTGAGTGCTTAACAGCTGGATGCTGCAGTGCTTGTGCCAAGCGTTGATAGGTCGCCTCAGATCCCCACTTTTCTGTCCACATTCGTAACACAGCTGCAGTGGTAAATAAGTGTTCTTAGTTAACGTAAATATATCTGGTGCTGGACTTCGTTTTTAGCAGAAACCATTCACATTATTGTTTGTGTTTTCCACTGAATTTTTCTTATTGTTATTATAACATAATCATCATCATCATTATTTTTTCCCCTTAGGGTTTGAGGACGCCTTGTTGACATTAACCGACTCACTTATTAATCGCCTGCAATCTACTTTTCTTTTCTACTCAACTAAAGCAACGTATCGACATTTTATTAGGACTTATTAAGGCTTCAACTTATGAAAGTATTTTCAGTAACTGTACCGTGGCATTTGCTGACCATATCACGCTCGTTCTCCTCGATCTCTGCCAGCGTGGCTTCAGTGAGGTGTAATGCTCGACAGAACATCTTCCAAGAAGCACCAAATTCACCAGCAATATCGAGAAGGTCTTTACTGCATGGCGTGCCAGCCTTAACTGAAGATAATGAAGGCAAAACTACACAATCTGTGAAAAATAAGAAACAAATTCCACTTTTCAGCTTGATAAGCAAGTTAAACAGTAATCCCACGTCCATCCTAGCCTTCGAGAGCAGACACCGTTTTCGGCTCTTGTTCCCGCCGTAGAGAAAGAGCTTTTTTGTCCACCCCGACCCTGTAATGGTTGAGCGCCTTAGCCGCAAGGGTGGTGCTACTTGTGAACTACGCATGACTATGAACTAGACAAGGTGCAAGGCGGAAAGCAGGCACAGTTAGCCGCCAAAAACTATTTTTAAAACAATAATAGAAACAACAAAATAAAGAAGGAAAACTAGACAATTTATAAGAGGAGTTATCGTACTAAAAAAATGTTGAAGTTCCCAATAACGAGCTGCCCACCCCATGATCCTGTTAACTAATAAGCGGAACTAAGTATTTTCAACGAGGAACACTTACCCTTACAGGGATCGCTGTGCACGTTACAGTACTTTGCAGCAAGATCTGTTCGTCCCAGTTGTTGGAATGCTACCGCAAGACTTTGATACGTTGCAGTGCCACCACAAGACTCCAACCATTTCTTTAGCATACCTGAAGTGGGATTAAGTTACTTTAATTTCTACACTCGAAACCAGGAGAAAATACACAGCGCAAACGTCTTACACGAACAAGCACATACCAAAAGCCATAACCTGGAAAGTTAATTGTAGCTCTCACTCTAAATACTAAACTAAGCATGACTCCGAAGACAAGTTTATTTAAGGATTTCAGCCGTGTCTTCAGCTGAGATTGGTATGTCTTTATACCAATGGCAAGTCATGCAAATCATCCTATCTGCTAACGACAATCAAAAACACACCATAGCTCTTTTCGATCAGTTTTCGCTCATCCTCTTCAATCTGTTCTAGCTGTGGTTTGTCTAGGTTAAGCACCCGTCCAAACATTTTCCACGAGGAACCAAGGTCATAAGCAATAAGTAGAAGGTCGTCAGTTGAGGGTTTGCCACACTTGAGTGATGCAAAATCTGTTAAAAGCAACGTTTAATGAATACTTAAAAGGCCCCGCTAGAGTGATTAACAGGGTGAGGTTCAGTTAACGTGCAGAACAGACGGTTTGCGTTTTTCAGGCCAGCGAAATCCAGCACGAAGCGGACGTGGAGCACCAGACACGCACGACAGGAGGGACGTGAAACTAATAACGCATTTTTTTCGCCATCTTTCAACGGGCGTCTCTTGCGCACCGCGCCCGCCTTCAATCACCTCAAACAGGTGACAAAAAAGCCTCCTATTTTCAAGGTTAATTTTAGTAGAAATTAAATGACGAACGGTAATGGAAATATATAACACGAACAAGATAAATTCTGATCAGTTGCCTGGTTCAACCAGTCAAGACTGTAATTCAGACACTTTTGTTTCAAAGGCTTGCCACTTAGAAAGAGTGAATTATTAGCGGTACAGATCAAGGAACCAACAGCTACTATGTACATTAGCTTTTAAATTGAATTTGTTTGACGCGAGTTTTAAAACAAGCGTGGCATATTACAAAACAAGCCGCAAGCAAACAAACAAAAGGGAAAGGGAAATCAAGACAATGGAAAAGGAAATCAACACAGTACCTTTTAAAATTTCGTTGCAAACAAACGGGCACTCCAAGGTCTCCTCGTCATGCTAATTTAAATCAAACAAAGGAGTACACAAGCATTAGCGAAGGCGCAATATCAGTCTGCTTCTATTATAAAGCAGAGACTATTGTTTTAGACATTTAAACAGATGGCATCAGTGAAAACAAGATTACCAGAGCTTTGTAAGCTTGGAACCATTTCTCCAATCCATTCACCTTAACCAATTCACCATTGTGGCTCTTTGTACAAATAGGCTCTTCTCCGGGATGTACTCGGAGAAGATGCAAGCATTCATCCTGAGAACAACTTTTTGATTCATGTTTAGTGCACTGATCACCATTTTGCAAGCAGAGACAGCAAGCGACACACAGTTCATACTGGAGGTTTTGCAACCAGGACAGCTCAGACGTAAGGGCTTTTAAAGAAGCCTCAAAAAAGGCCCGAACCTCATTGGCCATTTTCGTTGAGGCAGCCGTCAATGGCCCAGTCATGGAACGACATCTCTGACTCATCTTCAACACAACCTTGATGAATCTCGTTCTGCAAATTAGGAAAAGCTCGAAAGCACTCTGCATTCCAATGAAAAGCCTTGCACCATTATTAAATAGCTGTGGAGACTGCTTGAGGCCTTGTTGGGAGCACCAACTGATAGACCTCGACAGCAGTTGCGAAAAGAGCCCATATGGAACAAAGCCATCCGGGAAATGGATATATAGTGGACACGGATCACTATCAGAGGGACGTATTTCGCATAGACCAGATGGGGTTGATCTGAGCTGAGCTGGTACAAAGTATTCTTGCACCTGAGCGTTTGTCGAAGACGAGCAGGAGAACTTGCCAATTAAGCCATACAGCTCCATCATATCAAGAATGTCCTGCTTTAAAAGGCCATTCTGAATGAATTCCGTGAAAACGTGATCTACAAGAGCCATTCTAAGGATGCCGTTTTCCTCTAGCTCGCGCCAACATTTGGAAAATACAGGATCCTAAAATACGGAACAATTCAAAAACATCTTCAAAATATGAATAAATCTCACGCACGCCTGTCGTTAGTATGATCGATTTGTGTTTTTGTTTGCAATAACACTGACAGAAGTCCTTGAATGCCTAATTCCAGAGATGTTCGCCAGAAACTCGCGAGCGAGGGCTGCGAAAAATGTTTGCGCTATCAAGAGGTTGTCTATGTTCGTACAGACAATAGCAGTTGACCAACAGATGTAAACGAAATCGTTCAGGTTATGGTAAAAGACTTTATATCAATAAATGTTACAGTTGACTATAGATGTGCATCCAATACCTTAGGAGTATAAAAACAAGGGAACACATGAATAAAGTTCTCATTAACGGAGATATTCAAAATTTTTAAAGAGATTTTCGTAAAGGATAGTAAATGCAGACGTATGGGACATGCACCAGTTTACGAATGACTCGTATCGACCTGGGGATAAAAACACGTAACTCGCTCAAACGCACAATTAGAGACCTTTAGATTCGAGGACGAGAACAACTACGAGTACTATAATTGAATTAAAGACTTTTTTTGTGTATGAGATACCCAAAATGCTTAAGAACTTTTTTAGCAGAAAAGATAGCACCATTACCTTTATTGAAGGAGGTTATGCCCTTTCCCGATCTCAAAATGATAAAACGTCTAACATCCGACAACTCTTGTTTCCGCCACTAGGATATTATCGCTAAAACTCGAAATAAAAGACGACGGCTGTCAGGTTTTTCCCAAGAAGGAAACTGTTTCACGCGCGCTTTACTTTGTATTGAGCAAAATCTAGAACTCGTACTCGTCCCCGTCTTCGAAATGACTTACTTACCACCTCATTGAAAGGCGGGACAGTTATCAGTTGTTTAAATAGGTTTATTAGCCACTGAGCCTGCAGCACTACTGTATGGCCATGCTTGACTATAACACCAAGATCATGATAGAAATTCAACATGGCCGTCAACTCCGCATCGTCCTCGATTTGGCAAACTCTTCTGGTGACGGTCAGAAGCTGGTCTAGGGACATGTGGAAAGTTTTCTTCGCAACCAATGCCTCGACAACTTTTTCGAAATTGAACCACCTATCGTGAACAATAAAGGGACAACGAAAAAACCGTTACAAGCAAAGTCGACCGAAAAAGGATTGGAGGTAAAAAAAGTGGGTTTGACTTTGTGTATTTGGTTTTTGCATTAAGGGAATTAAATATTTCACTTTAAGTCTAGCTTGCTTATAGAAGAGCTGCAAGTTGTTCTGAGAGGTCTAAACCCCTCAACTGTAATAATAATAATAATGACGAAATGCCACGATATTTCATTTAACAACAAAATATGTAAAATTTTCCATTATACATAAACACTGCAGCTAATTTTGTAATAGCGGAACCTGACATAAATGAAGTAGACGTCTTATATTGAGTTTCCCTTTACTTGCACTTTTCAACCCAATCCAAAAAAGGGTACCGCATTACTACTTTGAATAGAACATACTCTTTTGTGAAACGCACCTAATTGGTACCTCTTCACCCATGTAGGGTTCTCGTTTCAATACCTCAATAATTTTCCTCTGTAGTTTCTGGATCCCGTCATCGTTATGCGACTGAGTGTTATCGACAGCAAAGAATGGCCTGATCACGTGCTCTTCGTAAGTGTTGCCCGACATACCCCTTTCGATGCACTTTTCCATTTTCTTGGGGTTTTCAAAAGGGTGATCAGCATTTGTACCAACAATGAAGACTGGTGGACGAAGATAGGGCGAGTTCCTGCCTTGATGATCTGAACCTTGCACAGCTTTACTCTCTGCGGGACGACGAATGCTATGAACAGAAACTAACCAGGCCAGTAAATTATCTAAATTGGTCTCACTGTTTGGGTTGTCCAGGAGAAGGTCATGAATACCTTGTCTCACACAGGGCTCAGCCTCAGCACTTAGACTTTTGCTAAGATTATACACCAAGACGTACACTGCTCGCGGTGAAAGAAAGACAGGATGTGACGCATAGTATAGGTGCTGTCCAGCAAAATCCCACAGCGTCAAAATGACTTCCTTTGCTTTGATGTCATCATCCAATTTAAGCCGCTCCAAGTATTGAATGACCAATTCTGTGACATCGTCCGACAACGCTGCAGTGGTGTCGATATTTAACTGCACACCTTGATCTGATGAACTGCTTAAACTTTTCTCCTCTGCAATATCATCCCTGGAGCAATGAAGCTCTGAGGAGCTTTCAGGTTTTATATTCGTTGTCGACTCAGCTACGGGTGAAGAGGTCTCAGATTGCTTTGGTCTAATGCCGTCCAATTCGTCCATTTTCCTCTACAAAAAAATCAGGTGTATAACAAGCTTTAGAAAAATTTGAACTTGACTAAAGGACCCCAAGTTAGCTTCCACTGACCGAAAAGTAAACTGATGTTTTGCATTCTTTAATTAAAGACTTGAAATGGCGCCCTAGCCTTGAGTTCAACATAATAGATCAGCAAATAACATCTCCACTGTTCGGAGAACAAAAATACAACATTAAACAACA